CACTTCCTAGTGCTGTCTCTCCAGGTCGGGGTCACCTGGAGCTGGATCCTGATGTAGGGCCCTCTGCTAATCCCTTAGCCTCAGACCCAGGACAGAGCCTGCTCAGTCAGCAACTGCAGTTGGGGGTGGGGTGAATGAGTGTCCCAGCAGGCTCTGGGGTTCTAGAGCCCCAATTTCTAAGGCTGTTCCAGATGTGGCTCACAGGATTGGGAGGGGCACCTGAAAGAGAAAATGCTGTAGGCTCACAAATGCCATTTCAGGGGACGACAGACAAACAGGTCTCCATGAGACTGTACCTGACCATCCCCAGGAGGCCAGAGGAGCCTCAGAGCTTTGAGATAGGGCCCTTCTGTGGGGAAATGAGTTCCCAAGCTTGGTGGATGAGGGGAGCCAGGACCCAGCTGCTCCTCAACTTCCTGTGAACACCTCAGGAGGAAACCCTGGCTTTAAAGGACCTGTTGTCTCTTTCACCCATCTACCCATCTACTCTAAGCCCATGATTTAGGGAAGCTAGAATGTGAAGCCCTGGGAAGGGGCACAGGTTCGGAAGAATATCAGATTGTTTTTCAAAATGTGGATTAGTCACAAACCCAAGCTTACAGCCTGTGACTGTCCCAGAGACTGTGTGCGACCACAGTTTTGTTGCAGCCCTTCAGTGGTTAGAACAAAAACCACCCATTTGCTCAGGAGCTAGGCATCTTCACGCCAGTGTTATGTTGCTGGCAGTGACAATGACAGAAGACTCGGTGTTGGGTCTGAGCTGAGAGCTCTGCATCAATGAGCTCATTCGACACAGCCTTTAGCTATCACTACCCTCATCCTCAAGGGAGAGCAAAGCTCCGGAAGGCCCTGGCACTTGGCCCTAGCAAACAACTCAGTCAGACTGCCTGAAGCTCAGCTGCGTGGCCCCAAGAGTATCTGGGATGAGACTCTCCTCTTCCTGACCTGCTTGATGGCACTCCCAGCCACCACAGTGGATTCCTTCCCCCACAGAACTGTACCTGGGGGGAGGGTCAAGCGCCAGTCTGGAGTCAATGAGTTCATCTCTAGAATGGGCAAGGCAGCTGTAGGAGGGCTGACCCCAACCCAGGTGCACAAGGAGGGGCTCTGAGGCCTGTGGGCTGAGGAAGAAGCCTCACTACTGAGGCAGAGTCTGCTTGCTTCATCTGGAAGCTTCCTGGAGGTACTAGGTATAGTTGGGGCTACCCAGCTCAGTCAGGAAGACCTCTCAAGCACAGAGGTCACCAGCAGATGGAGCCCCCAAGATTGGTCTAAGTGTAGACCATTTGCCTTCAGAGCCAGCCCACATGCCACCTCCTCCCTCCTCCAGCAAGTCCACCTAGCTGATCTTGATGGGGAGAAAGTGACACTCAGGCTTGGCAGGGCTGTGTTCCCTGCTTGAGTATGGCCATCCCTTCAGTTGTCTCTTGACAGGGTTTCTGCCTCGCTCAGCTCCAAGTCCCCAAGGAGGGTCTATGTGGCACCTGACCCACAGCAGCACGTGAAAAAGATCTGTGCAATGACACAGTTACCTTCCACCTGCATGGCCCAGGGACTGTGAAACGGAGAGCTCAGCCCTCCATACTGTCTCCTCCAGGGGGCCTCACTCACAGCTACCCAGGCAGTCACAGCAGCTGTCTGTACTGACCATCACAACCATGACCTGACAAGGACACAGCCTGAAGACTTGGCTGTGACTGCCCTGTCCCAGGGCTCCATCCACGTGGGCACCGACACCTCATAGCAGTTCAGCTTAAAGGTATTAATGTTCATTTTTTCAGGAGAGTGAACCCACAAGACAGATGACCACCATGAAGCTCTGGCCACCATCCTACAAATACCCAGAAGGTGATTCCTTGGGCTTCGATTCATAATGGCCCCAAGTTCTCCTTGGACCCAGTCTAGGACTAGGTGGCTATCCTTCCCCAGGGTAGCACTGAGCCCCTGCACAGGCCAGTGTGTGCAGGACTTCCCTTGAACCCAGGGAAAGGGAGTCGCAACAGTCTCCTCTACCAGGACTCAGCACTGATGGTGGGTTTAAAACTGGGACAAGCCAAGTCCAAGGACCTGCTGATTTCCTCATGACGTTACTGCCCTGCTACTTCCAAAAAGGGAGCAGAGGCCACGGCCAGGGGAGTGAGGCTAGAAGGGTGCCCCTCTTCCTGGCCTGGCCTGGCGAGGGCGCTCAGACAGTCACGGGGCATGTAGGAGCTGACGTTTCCTGGCAGTGGGTCCTGTCCGCCCCATTCCCTGTGTTCTGTCTGCCTTGGCCCCTCGCAGGGGGTGGCTGGCCCTTGTGTGCTGGTGCAGCCCAGCAGCTGGGTCAGCCAGTCTGCATGCGGGAGATACCTGCACCCACTGTGGCGAGGCTGGGGGTCAGCACAGGAGGCAAGGCTGGGGGAAGGAGGAGCAGGAGGCCAGCCAGTGTCTACAGAGGCAGAAAACTACAAAGCAGCCGAAATCAGGAGTGGAGGTGAGAGGAGGCAGGAGGGACTCAGCCAGGAAGACGGGGCTAGGGGAAAATAAAGTAAAACCAGAACCATATTCCAAGGAGATAAATGAAAAGAAGGGCACACAGGAAGGAGGGGTGAGCAGAGTTAAGAGGAGTCAACAAAGCTGGAAATTAAAATTTCAGGGTTGTGTAGGTGACCAGGGGAGGAGGAGGGAAGGTAAGAGGCTGAAATCAAACCGAGGGACAGAAATGATACCTAGGTATGTCCGAATCAAGAAACTGCCTGCAAAACACAAACAACCACACGTTAGTGAAGGGCAGTGGGTGGGCAGCGGGACAGCAGAGTAGCAGTAGCGAGGGGCAGCAGGGACAGCCACCTGTGGCTGGCAGGCCCACTCGGAGCCAGGGAGGCTGCGAAGCAGGGACCTTGGAGCAGGAAGAGGCCCAGGTATGGCAAAGCGCATGGTAGCCTGAGGCCCTGGGCAGAGCTAGGACGGTCCCAAGCCTCGGCCTCTGTGTGGTGGCTGATCTCAGAGCAGCTTGGCCCTCAAGAATTCCTAGGACTTCAGCCATGTACAGGGGTCAAGAAGCTGGCCCCAGTGGGCCCTCGGGAAGGAGGCCATGGGCTAAGGAGCGTGCCTGATACTGTTCTGTCTGGGGTAGGAAGGGCTGGGGCTACACCAGCAGGAGCAGCAAGGGCAGGAGCCAAGCGAGGGGCCTCTGCATCTGGGCCAGGTCTGTGCTCCCCTGGTGTGTCCTCCCTCCTCCTTGTACCCAGGGCCTCAAGCCCAGGTGGGTGGACTTTCACTTTTCCCAGCCCCCAAGGAACAGGATCGAAGTTGGTCAGTCCAGGGTCACGACTGAGCCTGTTTAACCAAAATTCTGTCAGCTGATGTTCAGTGAGCCTCTGCCTTCTAGGAACCCTCTGCCTAGCTGGGGTGACAGGCACCTCAACAACTGGGCTGGCAGGAAGGGGACAAAAGACACCAGCAACAAGGTTCTCAGTACAAGGAGACAGCCGTGGAGGGAGCCCAGAGGCACCATCTTCCCACCCACATCTCACGGTCCTATTACCTCCGTTTTGCTCCTAGAATACAGGGTTTGCCTGTGTAAGAGATAGTCAGGGGTGAAGGGCACTAAAGTCATCCCCACCTCCGGCCACTCTCAGGGTTCAGTGGCAGACAGGCCTTCCTAGTCCTCAAACCTGCCTATGGGGTCCTGATCCCCCATGGCCCGGGCACAGTGGCCCACACTCATGGGCAGAGCCATATTGGGGGTACTGAGCCTCTCTGCCTCACTGGGGGGGGCGCATTTTCAGAACAACAGGAGACACAAGGCCAGAGAAGCCCTAGGTTCCAGCTCACCTTACAGTCTGGCTCCCCCGTCTCTCTCAATTTATAAACCCTAGCCTGTCCCTCATGGTGCCATCTTCTTAAGAAAATACCCCCAGGAGTGCAGGGCAAGGACCAGAGCCACATCTGCACATCCTGATCTCTGTCCTACCCTGTCCACTGTCCCCACTGTTGCCCAGCTCTGCTCCCCCTTTGCTGGCTCCTCGCTAAAGCTGACTATGGTGCTGGGGAAGACCCCTTCTGGTCCCAGGATTGGAGAACACAGACAGGTCCCAGGACTCTCTGGTCCATGCCTCCCATCACAGGGGTATGGTCCTCCCACTCCTCTCCAAGTGTACCAGGTCCTCAGAAATGGTTTCCCACAAACAGCCCCAGCTCTAGCTTCTGGGTCAGCCCCTGGCTCCTGGGCACTGGGCCAAGCTGAGCCACTGGGGAGTAGCCAGGCTGAGACTCAGCCCCAGCCAAACATCCCCCACAAAGCCCTGGAAGGCAGCATCCCAGGCTCTTATGTCCAGCTGGGCATCCTCCCCAGCAGGGTAGCTCCTGCAGTGCCCAGTTCTGGGCAGCCTTGGTTCAGCTTCTGTCACATCCATCCATCCTGGCAAACCCCGCAGGGCCACCAAGGACAGCTCAGGGCTTCACCAACCCTCCTCTGCTCAGATGAGGATGAGTTGAGACTGTGAGTTTGGAAAGTGACTTGAGAAGCATGTGACAAGCTGTGTCCCATATTCACACCTCCCCCACCTGCTCAACCACCAACTCTGAGTTCTAGACTGCCTCTCTGACCCCCATCTCTGGGACCCGTGCCGGAGACTACTGACTGACACACAGCAGTGTGGTCCTCAGAAGGGTGGCTTGCTTGTCATTGTTCCATACACATCTGCCCACAGTCTCCAAGGGACAGGGCTTAGCTCATACTCTGAGCCCATGCTGGGCCCCCACCAGGTGATGGGATGGCATGAGCATGTAAACCAGAGATGGGAGACATGAAGTCAAGTGAGCAGAGAGTCTTGGAGGCCACTGGCCACCACTCACTACACTGTCTCCTCAGGTGTCAGAATGAGGGCAGGAAGGCCTGGGGTTGGCCATGGCATGAGTGGCTAGGTCAGTGGAGGCCATGAAGGATTTAAGGCTGACCTGTCAGGGGAGCTGGTCAGCAGGGGGTGTGGTCTTCCTACCCTTCTTGTGGGACTTACCGGTCATCCTGGGCTGGGTGGACATATCCTGATGAAAGGATGTTGAGGGATAAGATGTTGGGGTCAATCAAGGACTCATCAGTTTCTGGAGTGTTTCGGATGCGACCTGTTGGAAAGGCAGTGGCCAGGTGTCACCGCCCAAGAGGGCTCGCGGAGGACCTGCTGAAGCCTCTGAACAGGAGGAGCCAAGGTGGAAAGTGGGTTATGTGGTCCCTAAAGGCACCAGGGTAGACAGGAAGGCTACAGGATACTGGTGACCCCCGCAGCACTGGCCAGTCCCTCTTCCAGTCCCCTTCCAGCAGGCGGCTGCCGTTTCTCAGCTGTAATTATACCTTCGAATGGATCCCAGTTTCCGAGCTTAGCAGACTCAGGCCTTCCTTCCTACCTACAGAACAAGGAGATCTAGCCAAGATAAAGAGACGCTCCCATTCCATTTTATGCTTAACCATAACAGTAACAAAGGGGTAAATAATCACGGTTGTGCACAGGCCCTTTTTGCCCTGGCCATTCCTCCAGGGCCTCTGAGACACCTACTTTGGGGGTTCATCTGCCTGTGTGTGAGACAGGTGCTTCATCTCAATCCTTCACCTCAGAGGTGACTTTCTACTCCGTCAAAGGACTGATGGCATACCAGTCCTCTGCTCAGAGAGAGTGACCAGCTTTCCTCTCCCCCCCTGCACACTCTGGGCTGCACTGCCCAGTTCCCTGCAGCACTGTAGCGTGTGGATTCTGGGAGGAGACACTGGTCCCACAGCCAGTCTTCTCTCTATGCCAGGTCCTTTGTGGCTTGGGATACCCATGGCAGGGAGGGGCTCAGGGCTGAGGGATCTTGCCCAGAGCAGGACCTCAGCCCTGAGGAACAGGCCTCTGAGGCCCTTTGTTACTGTTATGGTTAAGCATAAAATGGAATGGGGGCATCTCTTCATCTTGGCTAGTTCTCCTTGTCCTGTCCTTCCTCCCTTTTGCTGACATCTCCCCACAGTAACGTCCACATCACAGTGCCCGAAAGACTTATGCCTTCTGGGGAGGGATGCTAGGCTTAGGGCTCAGCTATGACTAGGTACAGTCTGAGGCCTCTAGAATCAGAAGCTCTTATCCTAGCCTGGGGCCTCAAGTTTACAGCAGGATCTCCCTAATCCCTCTAAGTCCCTATTTTCCCACCCCAAGTAAGCAGCCATCAGTGTTTGCATTTTAAAAAGCGGGGAGGGGAAGAAGGTAGGACTTAGGGCTGGCTGGGTTGTCCATCTGAGTAGGAGGACATGGGTGGGTGGGGGCCCACTGTGCCGAACCCTTTCCCTCCTCACTGGCTGCCAACATAGACAGAGCTGTCCCACCTCAGATATAGCCTGGCTCAGATGCCAGGTACCAGGCCTGAACCTGGTCTTAAAATCTGTTTGGACTCTCCCCATAGGAGACTTTGAACACTGATTTCCTGCTTTTTCTGATTCATGTCAAATTCAACATAAAACTTGTAAAATAGAAGCACCCATCCTGGTATCCCAAACAACTGCCCACAGCCCTACATGCTGGGATACAAGATGACAGGTCAACCCAGGTAAACTGCTCCTGAGCCCTTGCCTGCTTGGCTATCAACAGAACTAAGACTGGGAAAAGCTTCCACGGAGACCTGCCCCAACTCCAAGCAAGGCAAGGGAACGGTGCTCATTCTGACACACCCTGGGATGGACATCTGCCCATGTCCTCAAGTGAGAGTCTAGAGGGCAGAATGCTCACAGCTTAGCAAGGGAAAGCCTGGTAGAGTTCAAAAGAGGAGGTCACAAAGGAAGACCCTACACATTGTTTGCTCTCTACAGAGAAGTGTGCTGGAGTCCCAACCCCAAAGCTCAGTGCAGCCTCCTGCAGAGACAGCAGCTGTGTCACTGGCCAAGTGGAAGTCTCATTCACTCTGGGATGAATGTGGTGACCCTACTGCCATATGGCTGGTGTCCTCAAATGCACGGAGCCATCCTTGTGAAACTGAGGGTCAGAGTAGTCTTCCACAAGCTAGGGACACTCAGGACTACCATGCCCTGAGACCAGGCAAGGCGAAGAAGGATCCTGCAGAGTCCAAGAAAGCATGCTTGTTGCTGGCACCCTGACTTCCAGAACTATGACATGATGCTTTAAGCCACCTTGTTTGTGGCATTTTCTTTTGGCAACCCTGGAAAGCCAATGCAGATTAAATAGAAACTTGGGGCTATAACCTAGATCCAAGGCCCTCCCTTTCAGGTGATGGGCTGACACACAGAGAAGCTTCATGGCCTGGCCAGAGTCACACAGCACAAGGCAGAGCTGCAGTCAGAACCCAGGTATTTGTCCAGAACAGTCCACTCCCAAGGTGACCTCTGCCTGCCCCACTCACCCACAACCAGCTCCCGCACTTCCTTCCAGCGGATGTGGCTTCCTGTTTCATGCAACAACGTCACAGTTATTCGTCTCTGGATGCCCTGCCACATGCCAGGAGAGGGGACAGTCAGCTGGCTCTGGGGCCATGGGGGAGGGGGAAGAAGCTGGGGAGGGCAAAGTTTGAAGTGGGCAGGGATGGCTTCACACCTGGTGGAGGAGGAAGGTCCCCATGCACGGCATGCCCCCACGATGATCCACCACGGCAGGAATGTAACTGGAAGAGAGATGAGAGTGAGACGTGGAGTTCCCCTCCTACCACACATAGCACAGGATCTGGTCCCAGAGCCAGGAGGGTCAGAAACAGGAGCACCCTGGTCATGCCTCCCTACACCCCAGAAAAGAAGATAGCCCAATCAAAAGAGATGAGTCTGCTAGGTGTGCAGAGACCTGCTGTGCCCCGTGATTATTGCCTATCCAGACCCCTACTGTGGGAACATGAGGCAGGGCCCTGGCCCTCTTGGCTGGCTCTCTAAAACTATACCTCAGGTGCTTCTGTTTTCCCCTTACCCACCATGAGTTAGCAACCTACAGTCAGTGACCTGGGTATCATTGTAGCAGGGCTCCTGTGTTCTAGCCCTTGGACTCTGGACACTCAGAGCAGAAGCCTGACTGGGTTCAGGCCTCCCCAGACATCGGTCCAGGGTTCCCTGACCCTCCAGCTCCAATCCAGGCACTGTGAATTCTCAGCAGCTCTCAGCAAAACAGGCAGGCCTCACCAGCCCTGCACTACAGCCCAGAGCCTGGGTTCCCTCCTAGATCTTCACTCCAAGACCCTACAATCATATCTATGACTCTCAACACTACCCCCCTCTAGTCCAGCGCTGGTTTTCATCTTTGTTGGCAGAACAAATGTTCAGCATCTTTGGCCACCAGCCTCCATGTGAGTATGCCTAGCCTTAGTCCTCAGGAGGGACTTTCGTCCACCCACCCCAGCATCCAGACAGGCCTAAATCACTGAAGGTACTAAATGCATGTCAATTGAAAGATCAAGCAGGTACTAGGAGCCCAGAAGGACTTAGTTCCTACTTCCTCTCCCTTGCAGCCACCACTGCTTAGGCCTCCAACCTGTCCCTGGGGCTCCCTCCTCCCTTCTCATCACCACTCAAGCTCCCAGCCCTCTCCCCTTTAAACACAAACCCTCAAGCCCCTGGCCTGTTCCCAGCACCGGTACCATGGGTACCCACTCACTCGCCATTGGCTTCCAGCTCACAGATCTCGAAGTAGACCAGCAGGTCATACTTGCAGTGGCAGGGACCTGGGGATGGCCGTGTCATCGTGCTGAGCTTGGTGGCAGGCACTTGGGGGACAAGAATACGACACAATGGGACACTCAAGGAGGGCTAGCAAAGGCTTCATGAGCACCAGCCCTCCCAAACAGAGATGCCCACTGAACTACCCTTGCCCAGGACACCCCTAGCTCTAGGCAGTCGGGTCTGAGGGACCTGACACTGGTTACAGATGTGTGACCATTCACATGCTCTATACCCCAGGTGGGAGGGGAATGTGACCTTCCATACCTGGGCATGAGCCACTGAGGAGGGTGGTGGCTTGAGACTGCGAGCCATCAAGGCATTTCAGACCTGGAGGCCCTACCACCTGCACAAAACCTCTCTGCCCAGCTGCCTGGCCTATCATCTGAGCTACATTTAACCACAGCTGAATGTACCAGTCCAAGCACCTACACCTTGCCCAGCAGGTCTGAACCCAGCTCCACTGGATCTCTACTGTGTCCAGCTGCCAACAGCTTCTACCTCCCAGTGTTCCTGGGCTGCTATGTGTTCATAGCTCCTGCTCTGGGCCTTCCTCTGTTAAGTCCCACCTGACAGTTCGTCATGCCACCTGTCACTGGATCTAACATCTCCCTTGTAGATGGTGGGGAGGGCTGAACAACAAGGCACAAAGCTGAGAGCTGTACACCCCACAGGCACAAAGCCATCCTGGAAGCCAGGGAACACCTGCTGCAGAATCTGCAGCCTGGGAGACCACTTCAGAAGAGGGCCACTCACACCTGAGCCCACACTGTGGGACCTTCACTGCCCCACCAGACCCAGGAGAACCCCACCTACCTGGCTTGGACAGTGGCATAACCCGGGGGAAGTGGCGACGTGAGGGCCTCAGGGGGCTGTGGAGAAAGGCCAGAGTGAGGGGACCCAGGCTGGTGTCCGAGTCCTGGCTGGAGGAAGCAGCCCAGGGAAGGGCAGGCTGCTGATCTGACGCCCATCCATGCCTCTCTGTGCTCTATCAGATCCAGAAAAAGCCTGGCCTTCGGCTTGGATGGGACAAGAGGGGCCCTCAGAACCCCAGACACTGTTCCAGAGGCTCCATGAAGCCCCAGGGACCCAGTGCCCCAAATAATGCCTGCTTCCTTCCTCTTTTCTCCATACCCTGGCATATCCCTCAGCTTTGAGGTCTGCTCAGCTGAACAAAGACAGAGCTGGAAAGGAGCAAAGGCCTATCAACACATCCCAGTTCTCTGGGTGGCTGAGACACACCTGTCCCATCTTCTGAGGCACAGGGTGAGATGGCCAAGTACCGTCATGTCACACCCCAGCCCCTCCAGACTCACCTCCCTCACCTTCCCTCACTCTACTTTCTTTTCTAAGTCTCCACCCTTGGAGAAATAAAAGAACGAAGGATCCAGAAAGATGTTCCTGTCTTGCAAGTGGTCAGGCTGGGCAGCAAAAGCTGCACCCTGGGGACCACTCTGGTCACCCCCCGAACACTTCCCACGATTGGCTGGAGGTCAGGGTTCTGACAGTAATGCTCCTGGGTTCTAAAGGGGAGAGGCAGGAACAGGCCATGCTCTGGACCATCTGCGCAGCTATGGAGTGGGCATCAGAGGCACACGGGCTCTGTAGCCTGGAGACTGTTGGACAAGAGCACCTGGTGACCTGGGCAGCTGACCTGAGCACGTCCTTGCAGAGAGGTGGGAACGGGTGCTGCTGGTAGTGACCGAAGACTTCAAACACAATGGGCTGGCTCTTGATGTACTCAATGAAGGACTTGGTCACCTCCACCGCAATCTAGATGGAGAAGGGGCCAGGTGAGGGTCACATCTGAAAGGGCTCACTGGCCATGAAAACCTGTCACTCAAGGCCCAGTCCGGACTCTGGCTTATCCTGCTGTCTGCCACCGTGAGACTCAGGAAGATGGATGAGCCCAGCAGATCCTGACAAACTGAACTGAAAAACTGGGAAGGGCACAGTACCTTTCTCCTACATCTGACCACTTTGGCCTCTCCTCTCAAGATGGAGTCAGGTCAGATGCGGACTGGTAGATCCTGGACGCAGTGCCCAGGATGAATGACAACACAAGTCTCAGCTGTCATTTCAGAGCATAGAGCCAATGAGATGAAGGGCAGAGTGGCTGTGCCATACAGACCATAGGCTCTGGCCCAGTCACCAAGCTATGGCATGATTTACGTCCCCCAGGTCCTACTGAAGTCTATCTCACAGGCTCCTGGGATAGAGCATTATAGAGACAGTCTAGCTAAATCGAGGCCCTTGGTGGGCCTCACCAATGTGACCGACTGGGACGCAGGCGGTCACAGGGAGAAAGACATGAAGGGAATGAAGGAACGAAGGAGCCTGCAGCCAAGGAGAGGACTCAGAAGGAACCAGCCCTACTGATACCTTGATCTCTTGACACTTGACCTTCCGGCCTCAGGCACCATGAGATGCTATGTGGCTCAGCTGCCCTGTCTGTGGTTCTGTGTTAGACAGGTCTGGGAGTCACAGTCAGTACTCTGCTCCAGAGGCCTGAGGCCCTGCTTGCTAAGGCCCTGGCATCTTGGCTCTGGAGACACTCATGCTTGGAGCTCTTTTGGCTTCTCAGAATTGTGCCCAGCTGTTCTACCATGTTCCTATGCTCTGCTTCCTTCCTGCTCCTGACAGCCAGGCCAGGCCTGCCTTTGCAGGGTACCTCAAGCCCTCAGCACAAACCCTAGCCACAGGATACTCTGTGTCCCTGTCTGTCTCAAGGCTCACTAGGGGCAGCTCTCAGGAGCTCTATTCTGTCCCCAGTCTCCTGTTTTAAACCTACTATGGATCCCTGGCTACCCAGCTGTGATGCCAAAAATAACCCCACATGACACTGGAGGTCCTGTATCCTAGTGCCAGACAGTATCTGGCACAGGCTGTTCAGAAGAAAAAAAAAAAAAAAGAAAAGGATGATGGGGAGAGAAAATCATGCTCAGCCTTGGACAAGGCCCTGGGGGAGTGGGAGTCAAGGGCCCAGGACCTACATTTTGGACGTGGTAGAAGCCAAGCGGAGGGCCCCTGCCAGTGTTCTTCAGGGGCTCAGTGGAGAAGGCTTCATCGTGACGGTGGATGAAGCTGTAGAACAGGAGGAGGAAGTTGGGGTGGGGATTTATAGCAGGGACCCACGGCCTCACTGGGTATTGTGTGGGCCTGCATGGCCTCCAGCCCTGCCTATGTATGTTGGAAGGCCCACAGGAGAGCCCCACCCAGCTCCCTGCCCCAGGTACAGACAATAGGGCTCACTTGAACTGGCAGAAGATGTCGGCATATTCAGCAGAGATACTAGATGCCTGCAGAACCGTCACACGGAAGGTGAAGGTGCTGCCCAGACGGAGGTGGTCCAGGGTTGTGTCCAGGGGCCCATCCAGGGTACCCTTCTCAGGGCTATCTAGGAGGCCTTCAGGAGGCACTGCTGTTGGGAGCCAGGGGAGAGCAATGGGGTCTCTAGGCTCCATGCTCTCCACGTGGTGGTCCCACACGTCCATGCTCTGGGCAATGCAGGTAGTACTTACCTGAGCAGGTGTTGTTGTTGACCTCATCAGCTGAGGGTCCAGCATCAGCACCCTGTCCCTGGCCTTCCACGATGCGCAGCTCTTCCTGGGAGGTCCCTGAGCGGGACATCCCCACCACAGGGCAGGACTCAGACTGGAACTATGGGGACACAGTTAGAGAGAGCCAGGGAACAGGCTGGGTTAGGACCACCACAGAGCCCTGAGCCAGACTTACCCCTGACCTAGGTGGAGCACCCATCTCCTTAGGCCTCCGACCCCCTTGCCGTGAGTGGCCCAATGTGACTGTATGGTCTGAGTGAACTGAGGTATAAGCTGACTGAGAGGAACACCCCCATCTGCCTCAGTGTGAGAGAGGTGGTGAAGAGAAAGGGAACCACTTCTTGTCTGAGTTCCACCCTCTGCCACCAGGCACCTTCTAGGGGAAGTCAGACAGTCTCCTTTCTTGAGTATCCTCAGACTGAGACCTTGAGCCAGGCAGCCAAGTGTGCACAGGCTAAAAGTGTCTAAGAAAACAAAGGGCTAAATTTCCAGGCCCAGGTGCCATTGCGTAGGCTCTGCCCCTCCACTGTCCCTGAGAGCAGGTCTGGTCCCTTCTATGCGGGGCCTTCCTCGTTCTCACAGGTGTTGGGTAAGAAAGACAAAGATAAGGAGTGGCAGAAATGCTACCCCAAGAGCAGGATAACGGGGGTGCCTGTCTGGAAGCTGGAACTGCGCCCCCAGCTCTATGCCTTGCTGTGTGAGCCTCAGAAAGATGGATGGGCCCAGCAGATTTCAACAAACTGAATAAGGGACAGTGTGTGTTTTAGACAGTATTGACTGGCCTATTGCTCAGGGTAGAAACAAAAGACTTTGGGCCCATGGGAACCTGCCAGAACTGGTCCCTGGATGGCCGGGGACCCATGAAAGGGGTGCCCCAGTATACAAAGCGAGCTTTCAGTGTACCTTCTCAAAATGCTGGTCGTCAAAGGAGATTTTAGCAGTTCCCGACTGACGGACACCAGAGCCATAATCTGGAGCTTCTTCATCAGCTGCAAGAACAGACAGGTGGTTGACTACTTGTTTCCCACGATGGGCAGAACCAAGCCAAGCGGTTCCAGGGCCAGGGAGAGGGTATAGGAACCAGGTGCCCAGACTCTTAACTGCACTGGGCAAGCAATATCACCAACTGCAGCTCAGTAGCCACCAAGGCACAGTGACTGCAGTCTGTGCTGCCTCAGGATCCCAGAGGTGACATGTCTTCATCACAACCAACTCAATAGGAGTCACAAACCCCACAGTCTGACCCTGACCTGCCCCTCCCAGGTTCTCAGGCAAAGCAGGAGGCTCCTGATTCTCTTCCACATCTCTCTGCAGAGCCCAACCCCTGGGCTCTACTATCACCTCTCACGTCGTGGCTGCTCCTCTGCCACCACCCAGTGAGCCAGCAGTGTCTGCTAGCCAAGGCTAGCCATAGTGGAGGTGAGCTGATGAGCTGACTCCAGCCCATGACCACAGGGTGGGGCAGGGTAACAGGAGCTGTGTGTTTCCTAAGTTCCCTTCCACAGCCACAGGTAGGGAAATATTAAATGTAATCCCAACTATCCTAACATCCAGTTGTCTTTACACAAGGTCTGGGGACCCTCACAGTTCAAATTTCATCACAGCCTCATTCCTGGATATCACCGGGGACAGCAGGGGTGTGGCTGCTCAAAGGCCCAGGCTCCTAGCCCCATTCACTTTCCTAATCACCGCCCTCAACTGAGACATGTGGGGGACCCCCTTGGGTCCCTCGGGGTGTAGGATGGTGAAGTAAACCTGAGAGCTTAAGTTTGGTACTAGGGCCCTTCACCAGCCTTCCCAAGGACCCCCCCCCCATCCAAAGGGCCCTTCCTACCAGGAACAGAGAATGACAGCAGCTATCCCCCACAAGGGTTGTAGGCCTGTCCTCTCAATTTTAGGAATATGTTGGACAAAATGTCTAGCTCTGACCAATGAGGGAGGGACAGGAGAGGAAGGACCTGGCAGGGCAGGGAAGCAGGTCCTCAGGAAAGGCCAAGTGCAAGGTGTTTCCACATCCCTGAGAGATGTTTAGTGAACACTCGCTTTGCAACAGAGGGGACAGGGTGAGAATGCGATCTTGGCCATCCTACCAGTTCACCCTCTGCCCCTCCAGGCTCATCCTCCACCCCCTCCAGGCTCCTCTGCCAGCACTGCGAGAGCCACAGTGGCTGGACTACATTTATCTAAGCAATTGTGGGCACATCATTTGGTGAGAGGAGAAATCATGGGCTGATGAAGATTTGATAATACAGCAATTATCAACTTAATTAGTAGAACTAAAGTCACCTAAAGTGATCGGAATACCAAAGGAGAAATCATTAGACATTTCAAGGCAGAGGGGAAAGAGGCATTTGAAAGCAGAGGTATGGGAACCTGGGGTATAGGAATCTGGAGTATGGGAACCTGGGATATAGGAATCTGGGGTATGGGAACCTGGGATATAGGAATCTGGGGTATGGGAACCTGCAAGGTAGGGGAACCTGGGAGTATGAGAACCTGGGGTATAGGAGCCTGGGAGTATAACCTAGGGTATGAGAACCTGGGGGTATGGAAACCTGGGGTATGAGAACCTGTAAGGTAGGGGAACCTGGGGTGTAAGAACCTGGTGTGAGTCTATAGGCAGAATTGGTGGGTGTGAGAACCTGCAGAGTATGAGAGACTGGGGTATATTAAGGGCATGGTAAACTGGAGACACGAGTACCAGGGGAGTATGACAATCTCGGGTGCATGAGAACCTGGGGGCATATCACACACCGGGGTTATCGCCTTTTCCAGCTCTTCTAGGTGCACACAGAGCTAGGCCCAGGCTGTCCAGCTACAGGCAGCCTGCAGCCCCCACCTTCTGTTCCTCCATCTCCCTCCCTCCCCAGGTGCCCAGGCAGTTAAGACCTCTTGGAATAAAGACAGTGAGTACCCTAGACCACGGTGAAGGGCAGAGAAGGGAGTCAGCTAGTTGTCATTACAGCCAACACTACACTCTGATCTGCTGACACCGTGAGCTGTAACTCAACCTATAGGTCCCGTGTGACCCTCACACTATTCTCAGTGGACTTACAAACATTCCCATCAGTCAGGAAGCAGGAATACAAGCTGAGGCCCAGAGACTTCTGTTGCTGGCCAGTTCTGGTACTCCTGGCCATGAAGGAGAGACAGGGTAAAGAGAGGGTCTCTGCCCTCTACAAAAGGGGAGCCTGTGCCTTCAGGCCCACAAATGAGAGTCTGCAGCCTCCAGCTTAGGACCTGGACCTGAGGGAGGGTCATGGAGGAGAAACTGAGGTTGCTGTTGGAGGTTGCCTTGGGCAAAGGTGGTCAGGAACTAGTAGCCTATAGGCTCCCTGGGCTATGAAGTGGGTGATGAGCTGGTCTGGCCATAGGGAGGCAGCAAGGTGGTCTCTGGGTCCACCTAGGTTGCCTTATAGATGGTGAAGATCTCAAGCCAGAGAGAGCTCAGGCAACCCTGGGCTGAGCCTCCATGGCTGAGATGGTCCGGACTTGTTCAGGAGTCCAGGAGGCCAGAGTCAGGAGCTAGGCACAGGGGACTTCTCCATCAAATACCACTTGCCCACCTGCCTGGGAAGGTGGAGAAAGCTCCATGCTGGCCTTGGGGGGGGCGTTCCTGGTGAGGCCAGCTCCACATCGACCACTACTCAGTGTCCTTCACCCCCACCTTTGCCTACCAAGCCACACACCGCCCGGGCCCGCGCACACCTGAAATGGCCTGCACTGCCACGCGGAGGAATCCCTTCACCTCGCCCTTCTCGCTGACGATGGCCACTCGGTGCACCAGAGGTACAGGGTACAGGAGGTTGCTCAGGTATACGAAGGCCCTGCAGGAGCAGAGCCACGGTCACAGGCAACCCTTGAGGTGTGCTCTGAGCGGCAGCAGTGACAGCAAGGCCAGCTCACGCACAACACGCATCTGCAAAGCAGAGCAAAGCTGAGGGACAGTCAAGGCGGACACAGTGAGGTGGGGGAGCAGGCGAGGGGGTGAGGGAGGGGGTCTTCAGTGCTCAGAGGAGACAGGAGGTGGAGACAGGAGGAGGGAGCGGGCCTTGGCGAGTGGAGGGCACAGCCCAGCTCAGCCTGGACGTGGCTGAGACGAGAAGAGCTGAAGGGAAAGTTTCAGCCTGCTTCAAGGACTGGATGACCAGGGCTGGATGGGGACAGGCTAAGCCTTGACCCTCGGGCACACTGATGTCCATTTCCCATTGGGCCCCACTGAGCGATTCAACCCCCAAAACTTCCACAAACACCTGTACCCTCTTAGCTCACCTGGAGGTTAGACGCAATCCCTCTCCCAGGGTTACCTTGTTCAGAGCAGGTGCAGCCGGCTCAGAGTGTGTGCCAGTAATCCCGAAGCCTGAGCACTGCCCTGGTCCATTCTAGCCAATGCTTTCAGCTTCAAGAATCTTACTTGAGCTCCCTTGGCTGTCTCACTAACACCCACCTCTCCTACTGTCCCCAGAGGGCCTTAGGGACCTGTGACATAGAAGCTCCCCCACCCTCAGTGGTGCCCAAACTCCTTGCAAAGGCATGCAAACCCCAAGAGGCCCAGGGTGGCCAGCTCCACCTTACCCCCAGGCTCGGCCCCCATCTGGCCACACAGGCCAATGGATCCCTGGATTGCCTGCCCATTCCCATGGCAACAGCCCATTTTCATTCTCTCAGATCCCAGCCTCCTCCAGCAGCTCCATCTTCTGACTTGCAGTCTGTCTGTGGACGTTCTTGTTCTCTGTGCATCACTCTACCTATGACAGAGCCTCAGCAAGTTGTTCTTGTAAAATCCCCTAGTTAGGCCTCACTGTGGGGACCCTCAGAGGAACTGGGGGACCCTCTTTGTTCTGCACAGTGGTCTCTCAGAGGAGCTTCCTTCTGGGAACCAATGTGGGAACTGCTATGGAAAGGATACAGGGAGCCCATAGAGGACCCTGGGGGAATACCCACTCTAAGGTCCAGGTGAAAGCCCCATGCTGGCTGTACAACATTCCTCGGGGGTAATGCCACAGGGCCTCGTGGGAATCAGCAGAGCCAAGGTTCAGGGGCTATCTAATGGACCTCTGGTACCACAGAGGTAACCCCAATCCTGTGGGCACCCACGGAAGCTAATAGGTCCCATATGCCCACTGCTTGGCCTTTCCCTGCTGCCCCTGAAGGTTAAGACTAGAGGTCTGAAGAAGGTAAACTGAGGCAGGGCAAGGCCCTGCCCAAGTCATGCAGTGAGACTGCAGCAGACTCTCCATGGGGCCTTGCTAGTGAGCAAACCCTGCTCAAAAGCTCATGAGCCTCCGGTAACCAGCCACAGCCAACCCCCAGCTCAAGGCCTTATAATCAGCTGGCAGACTAGGCCCCTTGAACCTAGGCTCAACTACCCCGCTGTGAAACAGGGCTGCCCCAGAGGCATCAGGTTACATGGAGGAAATGTGCAAATGGGGCTACTGCTCCCCAAGTGGGAAGCAGGTCACCATCCGTGTCCTAACAACACCACCTCTCAGTTCGCTAGCCACACACTCCTCTTTTATGTGTGTCAAGAGTCTACAGTGTAAGATGGTCCATTCGAGCTGGTGGATAGGCACTCAGGCCCATTTCACAAGTGAAGAAGCTGAGGCATGAAGAGAATAGGCAGTAGCCGGGGCTGGCAGCAAGGGCCAGAGCTGGGATGGGACCTGCGAGATGCCCCTAGGCAGCTCTCATTCCATTGGCCCCTGCTTGTTAGTGCAGCCATGAGACTGAATCACTGCATCTCCATCTTTCAGAACGGCCTCCATCAGAGGGGAACAACCCAGATGTGGTCACATAAGACTTCTGCAGTCCACATCCAAACTGTAGGCAAGATGCAGCCCGCAGAAAGCCTTGTGGGATTTCTCACTGGAGGCTAGGGTTGTGCACTGAAAAAGATCCATCTCTGACCAAAGCGTCTGGATCCCCTATGATCTCAGAACCCCTGCACAGCCCAGAGAGGAGCTGTAGGGTCCAGATACAGCCGTGAAGGCAGGTGGAGAAGGGAGAGAGATGCAGTGGCATCTCTCCCTTCTCCACAGTCCAGCCTGGTCCACTTGGAATTGTGATGGAGTCATTTAGCTAGAAGGAACCTCTGGGTCTGAACCCCTCCCCAGGAGCAGCACTGACCTTGAAGGGCCACAAATTGAGTCCATAAGACCCCTTCACCCTACTCTGTGCAGAAAGCACCCAGCCAGCACACCTGGTAGGTGAAGGTCCCAGACAGTGCCCAGGGGGAACAATATACTATAGTCTTTATCTTGCCTGTTCTCCAGGCACCATAAACAACTGGAAACCAGCATCAGCCGCTGCAGGGTCAGAACAGACCCAGCCAAGCCTTGCCAACCTGCCATGCCACTCCAGCACCCAGCTGCTCTCAAGATCAGAGGTACACCATTCACAGCTATATTGGCAAAGACCAAGGCCACTGTGCAGGTGAGGGGGCCCCAGCGTGGAGCTAAGGAGTCCAGGGCCTCATGGAGCTATCAAGTGCAACCTCTTGCTGGGTCAACATCTGCCCATCTGGTGTTGGGCATCAGTTTGAACTGTACGTCCCCTCCCTCCCTCCGCCCCCTCTGTGGGCCCTTCATCCCACGCTTTGAGCTCTTGTTCTCACTGCAGTGCCTGTGCACATCCACCCCATTACCCATCTTCTGGACTGTCTTGATCAGGTGAGAGAAACTGCAGCCCCTGGGCCCACTTTATCAGCAAACCCACCCACCTCCCCAGGTCACCTGGCACCTGAACACCAGAGACCCTGGATGTGGGGAGGGGGCCCTGGCTCTGGTCACAAGAGTCCTGTCCAGGAGTCCATGGTGCCTTGAAGCAGACTGAAACACCCGAGAGGAGAGGAGGGCAGACGGGCAGAGCGGCACGTGTGGCGAGGCGGGAGGGAGGAGGCAGCGCTAACCACAGATTGGTGAGGTGCAAAGACGCATGCTGGGACCCAGGGAAGCCTTTCCAGAGGGGACAGGAGTGGGCACCCCAATTTTGCTTAAGCTTTGGAGAGAGCCAGCAGCTACCAGAGGACAAAGGAAAACCAAGGTGGGAGGCCTCTTCAGGGCTGGGCCGGCATAGCCGCTGTGCAGAGAAGCCAATTCTTGCCAAACCAAAAAGGTCAGGATGTTGCCAAATGAAGCTCTGTACAGACCACCCCATGATACAGGGGGCTGGGCCTCTCATGGATGACTTTTGTTACGTTTGGTCACTGTGTGAAATCTCAAATCCACAAGAGGGGAAACGACATTGGAAGGACCCAGCTCTTTTTGTGAGACTGCAGAGCCCACGCCCCCTTTCTCCTGATGCCCTTGTACCCTGTATGTCCTGACCCCTTGCCTACCTGACACCCGGAGCCACTCCCAGGGCCCAGCAGGCATGGGAGGCCTGGCGATATAGCCCAGGGCTTTGTGGGAGAAGCCTGCATGGAGCTGGCCTGGAGTCTGCACCTCTCGCTCAGGCCCAGCAGGGTAGAAGTCCAGGCCCAGGGCATTTTAAGGGGAGATGGCACCCATTTGTATCCACTTGAGGCAGCTCACATTGTAACACCAGCCAAGGACAGCCAGGAAAACTAATCAGAGCAAGTCTATAACCAGTGCCGTGGGAATGTGCTACCTTTGGAGGGTGGGGGGCTCTCACGCCATTATCTCCACCCAAGGAAGGAAGAGGCTCGGTCTGCACGGAAAGCTTGTGGTCTGCAAGGGGCCGTGCTCAGCCTACAGCTTTTGATGCAGGTACTCCAAGATCAAGACTTTTAGAAATGTCCATTGTCCTGGAAGCAATCTCTAACTCTAAGAAAGGATGCTGCCAGAACTCTCACTGTTTCAAGTAGGGAGACTACAAAGCTCTAGTGTTTCAGTAATCATTTTCTTACTGCCACAGCAAGCAGCTAGACCTTCCTCCCCTCGGCCCACCTCCTGACATCAGCCTCTCTCATGCATTCTGGAGACTAAATGGCCAGCTCTTCTCTGCGAAGGACATGTGTCCATCTCACCACGCTGGTCTGGGAGGTTAGGGGAGTTGGAGTTGTTCTCAGCTGCCAGGCCCCACAACATCAAGGCAGGTGAAGTCCTTCTTCCCCTGCCCTGGGTGGCTCACAGTCCCGTTCTCTTTCTCAGAATGGGGTGGCACTGAGCACACAGGGAACCTTCTCTTTGCACAACAAAGGAATAAGTAGAAGTCACTTCAGCTGAACTCAGGACAAGGGGCTGGGGCATCCAGACTGGGGACATCCTTCCCCACTTGAGATTCCCCCTAGCACCTGCATAAGGACTCACGGGCATCAAGTGCCTGAGTCATGGCCACGTCCCAGGTTTCTACAGTCAGTACTGGAACCACCCCAGCTGCCCAGGGCAGGTGCCAGGAGTCTCTGACTAGACTTTGACTATGTTCTAGAGCTCCAATCTCTTCTGCCACTGGACCCAGACTCTTCCCCGTTAGGCCAGAGCATCCATCTCCAGGATGGGCACATACCCCACTGTGGGGACATCAGGGAACCTCGCTCCCTCAGCCCCCTTGACCTCGCTCCCTCAGCCCCCTTGGAGGCCAGCCCTAGCCTGCCTGGCCCAGAGGGTCCGGGGTCTGCCCTGATGCCCGATTGTGCCACAGCAGTGCTCCTGTGCAAAAGAGCTGGTTCCTCCCCAGCATGCGTGCCTCAACCTCACCAACCTTCCTACTAAACTGAACAGGGGGGGCCGGTCGTAAAACGGGTCCCGGCTGTCGCAGAGCGTGTGCTCCGGAAAGACGTCATCTTCCAGGTCCTCCTCCTCCTCCTCCTCCTCCTCCTCCTCCTCCTCCTTCTCCTCCTCCTCCTCCCACGCTCTGCTCCTCGGCAGGCTCGGTGGTGTCGGAGTCGGGGTTCGAGAAGGTGGGGGAGGGGGTGAGAGCAGCCATGCGCTCGCTCATGCATGTGTTGAGAAGAGGGTAGCTGTTGCAGCCAGAGATGACTGAACTGAGGTTAGTGCGACAAGACAGAAAGAAGTTAACACCAGCTACTCCAGGGAGCGTGGGGCAGGGTGGGGTGGGACAGGGAAGACCTCTGCTTAAAACCGAAACCAAACATGAATCCTCAAGAACATTACTTTAAAAGACAAGAGAGACAAAATGCACCCGGTCCCCAGGTTTGGAAAATTAAAAAAAATGCGGACAACTGGAAGGCTGAGTTTTCAGAAAGTACCAACAGACATGAATGCGAACAAGGGTCCTGGCAGGCCACAGTCAAGGCTGTTCATGGACCTCAAAAGTTCGTCCAACTGGAACTTCAGTGTACCATCGCTACATGGGGGTCAGAGGCTGGCTGCTGACATCAGACTAGAAACCAGGGAAGGAGCTAGTATTCTCTAAGGCTACCATGGCTTAGGTGACCCAGCCCTGCCTCCACAGTCCCACCCCCAAAGCTACCAGTGATCTAGAATGCCTGCTCCAGGTCCCTGGCTGCTTTGGGCAGCACACACACACACACACACACACACACACACACACACACACACACACACACACACACACACATTTCACACACATACATGATTAAA